TAAATTTGTTAATTTTGATGACTTGGTAGTTTTTTTGCAAATACCATCAATCTTCAAGCAATCTAAATCAAATAAGAAAATGATGCAATATCTGGAAAATAATTTTAAAAAAACTGAAGAAAAAATAAATGCAGATTTTCGAAATGTGTGTGTGTGTGTGTGTGTGTGTGTGTGTGTTGGATTTTTCACGTAGCTTTAACCATTTTTCAGTGACATCGCTACGATGTCTGCAGCGCACCAGTTTATAGTAATGCCTAGCATGGGGGGGGGCATTATACCACAGACATGCAGCATCATGTCCCACCCAGTCACATTTTCCTATCACCAGGCCAACTAGCACTAACCTCTTATTGCTGAGCCTCTAGCAAAGCAGCTTTTCGTACCATTTTTATAACTCTTTTATATGGGTCTGCCGGGGTCGTACCGACGTCCTACAGCATAAGAGGCGGGCGCTCTCAAAACTATGCCACCGTAGCGGTAAGAAATAGGAGATATTTAAGAGAATATAAAATTTGAGATTTGGTGACTGCCTGATAGACAAAGTGCCTTGTTATAAATATATTGGTTGTTTATTAAATTCTAGAAACGCACGGTATATGTGTCAATAAAGACTATTTAATCGTTCTGAAAAGTTCTCTACAGTGTTGAATTCTGGGTAAAACGTTTGGCGTTTTAGCAACGCAAACAACATTTAAGCTGTACATAAGTCATTTTGTAAATATATTATTTGTATTATAAAAATTTTCCAAATGATTTTATTTATAATGAGTTATATATTTATTTATTTATTTATTTATTTATTTATTTATTTATTTATTTATTTATTTATTTATTTATGTGTGTGTGTTTCTAAAAAGCAGATGCCATGGGCCTAATACCCTCTCCTGCTGTGCAAGCAATTCAGAAGGATTAGTTGTTTGTACTTCACATGTATAAAACGAACCGTATTCGCCTTTTTCATGACGTTTATTTCTTTTGCAAGGCAATGCATTGAAAATTCAACTAAAGTCATTATAAGTTCAACTGCCATGAAAGAAAAATGATCTTGAAATGTTTACGAACTCGGCCAAATTCATTAAAAATCGGAATAAAGGAAATAAGAAAACTTTTTTCAAAGAGTGCTCTTTAGCTACAAGTAACCAGATAGACGTTTTAATTAAATTGAAAACTGAGACTTGTCTCCGTGAAACAAACAAACGTGAATTTAGAATTGTTTTGCTGTCTGGATATCTCAGCAAGGCAATTTAATCACATGAAAATTGCTCCCCAGCCATCAAAGTCTCTTGCCTATCTCGTAACAAAGTTTAAGGAGATTAATACTTGTCTGTAAGATTTTAAATCAAAAAAAAAAATGTTCCACAAGGTCAACGAATTTAAGTCCTTTGTAAAATGGATCTGACAAAAGAGATTTTTAGAATAAAAGTATCAAGAAATTTCGAATGCAGGAATATTCATTCAGAATAAATGCATGTAAGAGATAAAAACAGGAATAAACTTTTCAATCCTAATATGCTGAAGTTACAGGTTTCACAGTTCTCAGGATATTACGACTAAAACCGTTTGATGTACCTTCCAGAATCATTAGAAGAAAGATAATAAATAAATGTACGCGACAACGCGCTTGATATATCTTCTAAAGCAGTGAGGCGAAAGAAATTGAATAGAAAGTGTACACAACAAAGTGTTTTATGTACAACCCAGAGCGGTTTCGTGAAAGACAGTACATAATGATTGCACATGACAAATCGTTTTATGAATCTTCCAGAGCAGTTAGGTTAAAACCAATTAATATAGACTGGATAAAACACAGTGTTTCATGAACTTCCAAAGCAGTTGGGTGAATGATAGTAGTGACTGTACATGACTAATTGCTTTATGAACTTTCAAAAGCAGAGGGATGAAAGACAACACTTAAAGATTATACATGACAAAGCGTTTTATGAATCTTTGATAGCAGTTAGGTGAAAACCAATTAACAGAGACTTGACACAACACAGTGTGCCATGGAACTTCGAAAGCAGTTGGGTGACTGGCAGTAGACAGTGATTGTCTATGACTACTCATTTTATGGTCCTTCAAAAGCAGATGGACGAAAGACAATGCCGATTGTACATGACAAAACAGTGTATGTATTTCATTCAAATTATGCGAATATATGCTGGATAATACTTTATAAACGTACCACCGTTATTTTACGCACACGAATAAAATATTTACTACATGATTCTCGACTGGATGATAGTTCATTTTTTTATCCTCATGTAAAGGGTATAATCATTATCAGTCGAATCTTAAACTAGTCTGTTAGCTCTCCATGACTGAATACATTCCTTGAAAAAGTGTTGATTTCTGGATCATGCGCGGAAGAAAATATGTTGTTTTCTTAAAATTATTATTATTATTATTATTATTATTATTATTATTATTATTATTATTATTATTATTATTATTATTATTAAGGAAATAATGTGAGCATATGTTTTTCGTTGAGAATACGTGTTTCATTATTCTAATCGTAAAAACCACGTGTTCCATCATTCTCGTCGTATAAACGTGTTCCATCATTCTAGTCATATAAACCAGTGTTTCTTCATTTCAGCTGTATAAACCTCGTAGTCCACTATTCTAGCCGTATAAACCTCGTAGTCCATTATTCTAGCCATATAAACCTCGTAGTCCATTATTCTAGCCCTATAAACCTCGTATTCCATTATTCTAGATGTATAAACCTCGTAGTCCATTATTCTAGCCGTATACACCTCGTAGTCCATTATTCTAGCCGTATAAACCTCGTAGTCCATTATTCTAACCCTATAAACCTCGTAGTCCATTATTCTAGCCCTATAAACCTCGTAGACCATTATTGTAGCCCTATAAACCTCGTAGTCCATTATTCTAGACGTATAAACCTCGTAGACCACTATTCTAGCTGTATAAACCACGCGTTCTTTCATTCTAGTATAAACCACGTGTTCCATCATTCAGAATTTCCGTTTCGATACACAATAAATATCGAACGGCCACGATAAAAATGGCAGTGTTGTACCCGAATATGGTGGTAATGCAACAATAAACAAAAGTTACAGCGACTTTAAATCTGAAAGAAATTTATTGCCATGCCAAGAAGGGCATAAAAAAGGAAAGGTCAAAGGAGTTCCAATAGTTACTGCGAGTGAAACTTTAATAATACATTAGGTTTCTTGCATTGACAGTTAAAATATCGTTTAATTTTATTTGAAACAAATCATGTAACTCGAGACCAGAGATGGCGATCTTACACGTAAAAGTAACGTAATGTATATATTTGATGAGAAAACTGCAACCAGCATATCGTTATGTCTGGATATAAGCCAATTTCAATATTCATCAAGTTTAGCTAGACTAAAGCAGTGCCTCTTCATACAGAAAAATGATTTCGTGAATTATCTGGACATTTGCCCACCAGTATTTGACAGAATGAAATAAAGAATAAAAAAATGCAATGGCAAATACATGGTACATGTATTTCTTACTATTAATACAGTCCGCTTTGCTACGTCGCTGAGTTATTCAGAATGATTGCAGTGTGAATATAAACACAGTGCACATTTTTGTCGTATTTAGCAGCACACAATGTGATAATGTGCATCAGTCATGCGCATAAACCATGTTTGACTATCACGAATAGAACCCCAAACAATAAGAAAAAAAACTGTTTTTGGATAGACCCCAGCTTTTTTGCAATAAAATTTCGCTTACAACGATTACAAAATTGTTACATCGTCCACTTGTAGAAGATATTCATGCCTGACAGCACACTTATAGCTGTACTTTGTGATGGATTTTGTAAGGTACAATAAAACTGCGATGATTAGAAATCATAATCGTCAACACTATAAAAAGGACGTACATAATATTGAAATAAATGATTACAGTTCTCGTAAAGAAGCTCGATTTTAAAGATCCAAAAAACAATGAAATATTCTCATAAGTACAGTATCTCACATTTTAGATACATTAACTCGTTAACCCTTGGAAACTTTTGTCATTTTTGGCTGAAATGGGAGCAGGTAACGCATCCATAAACATCTAATTACAACAAATTTTTATTTAGTAAGATACCTTGGTGTTTTAGAAACGTCGTTTTGCATTGGCTGTTTTGCCCAAGCATGTGCCGAAGGGTCATTTTGTTGTATAATTTTCGTGTCGTTTCACTTTGTTAATCCAAATACCTATCTTATCCTACTTTTTCAAAGATTCATCTTTACGCAGTTTATACCAGTCTGCCTCAAATTTCAGGCCAAAAAGTCTAAAACCGGACACAAAATCCGATTCCGACAAGGGGTGGATTTTTTATGTAAAATATGGGTCCCTAATAATATGATTTTCACTCTGTCTTTGGTAATGCGAGTAGAAAGTGAAGATTATTTGGTATCATCGCAGAGCTATTTCTGTCTAGTTTCTGAAATACCACCAATTTCGGTTTACCTTAAGTGACCATGATCCTACAGAGCTCGGATATAGGATACAACTATTGACGCGTAAATGTGGCTCCCGGGGTTAATGAGCTAATGTGCACGTTAATATATCAAATAAAATGACGTAAATAATTGAAGGTTATAATGACACTCAGCTTTCCTTGGATAATCACAACAAAGTACTTAATTAAAGATTTGTGTATATAAGTTCATCCTCTACATTCCACCTCTTGACGATTACATTTTGAGTTTATTTTTAAACTTGAATAAGCAACATTTAATAACCACGAAATATTTGCGTGTGTGTTATTTGCATTTTTAACGTAGCTAAAACAATTTTTCTCTCATATAGCTATGATGTATGCACTGCGGCAGTTTATAGTGATGTCTAGCACTGTTGCATCATGCCGCAGACAATTAGCATGATGTTCTACCCAGTCACAGTCTCATGCCACTAGACCGACCTTTCCTAACACAAACATCTTAATGCTGAGTGCTTAGAGGCAGCTGTTACGTTAGTACTATTTTGATAAGTCTTTGGTATGACTCAGCCGTGGTTCGAACCCCGGACGTCCTGCGCCTGAAGTCAACGCTCTAACCACTAGGCCACATGAGTTTTTCTGATGTATTTGTGACATGCACTCTCTAAGCATGTAAATGTTTACGATAGTTAGTAACTATTGAACTGAACATATTTTCTGCGACATAACAGTGTTCAGACGAGATGGATACATTTCATCACATTGTCTTTCAAGTAATATTGACAAAAGTTTCCTTATTTAATTAATGATTACGTCTTATTTTTATTGAATTACGTATGGATCATACAAATGGATTAATTATATACAAAGTTCTTTTCTTTTTGCAATAAACACCCTGCTTTGGTCCTTGTCGGCACCAAATGATATGTAACGATCTAGAAACAAGAATTCCGAAGGCAATCAAATGCAGCCAGCTGCACAGAACTATACGTTTTAAAATCGTTGGTGACCGTCGCCGAGGCCAAGGTGTCCCATTAAGATTTTTATGGGCAACACATGGTCTTGTGGGGCTATTATTTGCAAAAAACCAGTTCAATCAAATTTCATATGCTTTGCGGGGCTCAGCTTGCTACTGACATTTATCTTATGATTACGAGTGAAGAAATTTTTATTGCATTGACATCTGCTTAGTGATTGCGGAACAGTGTCGGTCTTGCCTGGGGTTAAAATTATGGAGAAAATAACCATTCGACCTAATTTAAATGTAAAGCTGTCTCAAAAAAGATATTGGATGTACTCGTAAACTAATCTCGCATGAACGAACCTAACGTTCCAGGTTGACATACGCCTTTTCTATAGATAACGAAATTACACCTATTTTAAAATAACTGAGAAACTAATCTTTGATCTTATAAATTTTTGTGTGAACAATACTGTTTCTCATCGTTAGTTTAGCTCCTATTCAGAAACGACTTGCGTTTCTAACCTGATTTTCTAAATTTAAAACCTGTTCTAATCAGGCCATTCTACTTGAGTCTCCGTATGCTGTGAAAAATGAGACTCTACGGAAAGAGACAATGAAAGAAGAAAATATGCATGTGCTTTAGATAACAAAAATAGTTTGGTAGAGGGTACTTTAACGCCTAAAGAAAGTCAGCGATTACCAAATACTGCAGCACTTCCAAAACAATATTTCCATCATCCCCGAATCTAGTACGTTATAGCTAATGGATAAGAACATGACATATCTTGTCAGTTGTGATTTGCATAAGAATAAACTGTGACAGATCGTGTCATAAGATCGTGGTCTGCAGTCAAAATACGCTGTGTAGTATGAATTGTGCCACACAATTATCTTCGACAGCTTGAATTCAAACACTGTATGCAATTCACATCGTTGTGTGCGACATGGAAAAATTAACCCGCAAAGAATGTATATATATATATATATATATATATATATATATATATATATATATATATATATATATATATATATATATATATATATATCTATCTATATATATATATATATATATATATATATATATAGCTAATAGGCCAGAAAGGATACGAAATCAGATTATAAGCTCTTTTTCCTCTGCATTTCTGTCCTAGCATAATATCTATTTAAATTTTCCTGAATTTTAGTGTAAGGCAACTGTATTTTGCTTAAATATAAAGTTTTGAAGTTTGATTATTGACTATCATAGGCAAGCATCTAATTGTATTCTCTCTCTAAAGGCATACATTTGTTTTTAAAACAATCATTTATTTCACACTAGTTGTCTTTTGGTACAACCAGACAATTGCTGCAGATGAAATTAGTCTGTAATGTTAAATCAGTTTTAGAAAAATAAAAAGTCGTTTACGCGTCATTCAAATATGGTAAGACGATATAATAATATGTGTAAATTGTAAGACATTTAGGTTGGAATCATGAACTATTTCTCATCCGTGTATCATTTCCTCCGTTGCAAATGAAATAGAAAGAATATTGAGCATTCCACATTGATAGCATATAAATAGTAATTGGTCAGTGGATAGAATATACTTGTACTTTGAAGCAACATAGTAGAGAAAAAAATTAGTGCTGGTAGCAAAAAAAAAAGACTTTACTTACATTAGTACGGAATTGATGATAATCCTTCGTAAATCCTTTCGCCTGACATGTCAATGAATAGCCATGGCGGAAATCAAATCATGTCGATAAAGCACATGTGTCGTACGAGACATCATTTACACCGCCAGGAAGAAATTAAAATATGCAATAATTTCTTAATTTTTCATCTTCTATGATCAGTGGTGCATATTCCGGAAAAGTATGGATGCAGCGATTAAAATGATCAAATTAACTCTCTCAAAATGAATTTAATCTGGCTTATGAAACACTTGTAGTCCAGCTTTGTAAGTTTGAACACAGGATTTCCACGTATCCAGTTAAAAAAGTTTGTATTGTTAATAACGAGAGAGAATACGTTATGTTGTTAATATCGAGAGAGGTGAATCTGTTCACTGGTTTATTTTAATCGGATGACTAAGGTTGAGCTCAGCATATGGAGTGACTTGTATACTGGCAAATTGGCTTTTAGCGGTTCTTTCCCCAACCAATCACGACTCGACGGTCTTTCCTATTGCAGTGCATAATTGAAAATAATAAACAGAGTTCTGCTTCGTGTGCAGTGTGAACAATATATGGAGAGCTATACATGTTTAAAGTATCGCTCCAGAAACAAACAGTATGCACTTCAATTTTGTGTGAAGCTAATACTGGGATACTTTACGGTCATGTTTTTATTTGTGAGTAATTGTACCTCACTACAGGCCGCGCCGGTGGCCTTGTGTTTAGAGCGACCGCTTCAGATAATGGAGGTTGTGGGTTCGAACTCCGGCCGAGTCATGCCAAAGACTTCTCAAAATAGTACTAACAGCTACCTCGCCTGGCGCCCAGCATTAAGAGTTTTGTGTTAGGACTGGTCGGCCTGGTGTCATTATAATGTGACTGGGTGGAACATTATGGTACATGTTTGTGGCATAATACCAAATGATAGACATCACTATAACCTGCAAGATAGTAGCGATGTGACTGAAAAAATGCTAAAGCTATGTTAAAAATCCAAATCACACACACCTTCTTACAAATATTGATACCTTAATTATTTTAGTCCAATGCGCATTTCTGGTCAAGTCTGGAGTCATTCTGACTGGTATTATAACAATAAAACTTTGTTTGCGAAACTGTGAACCAACTGGTTCAATAATACCACCTACTCCCTTTCTTCCTATGCATAAATTTGGTCATCGAAAAGCAAGAACTCTTCCCGCAAAATTATGTACGTTGTATGTTTATGCACAATAGCCTAGGTGGAAGGGAATGCCCTGTAAATAATTTCCGTATAGGGTGAAAGAGTGGTTCTTGCTTTATTGGACTAAGCATGAATTGATTAGCAATCGGTACCACTGTTGTATAAGGTTTAACAACTTTTCTTATTAATCCTAACTATTAATGCAACATAATTTAAATTATAAAATAAGATAAATGATTACTCTGTTTCAATCAATATTCTAGATGGCCCTTTTCTTTCTTTAAAAATATCCCCCAAACCTCCACCACCAAAAATATGAGTCCTGGAAATGCAAACATTTTTAGCTCCATGTTAAACAAATCTTATACGGCCGAAACTCTAGACAGAAACAAAAAAACCCACACACATATTATTTAATTATCATGATAATTAAATACATTGTGTCAGAAATCAATAATAATATCATCGTTTATTTCCTTCTTTCTCTGCATGTATTTAGGGTCGGTAGTACTGGTTTTCGATTGATACTTCACAGCAAAGGACTATATATGCACGATATAAAATGATGAACTAAAATCTCCCCTAGTTACTATTATTCGGTCCGTCGAATAGCTTCTTTAATGCATCACGTGATTTTGTAGCATTCCAGTTTTGCAGCATTCTGTCCATAAATAAACTGAATACTAAACCAGTATGGTTTACTACAAGTAAAGATTTTTGGATACCTGTACATATATCAAGTAATAATTATTGCGCACGGTTTTCATATCGGCTCTGAAGCAGTAGCGGTTAATAAAATCAAAATTATAGTGACGAAGACAAAATATGTAGAAATCATTCATTTTAACATAAATATTCCCGATTTATCATTAATATAAAAATATGAAGCACAGAAAAGATAATACAATTACCAGGTCAGTAAATAAATAAAGTAACTGAGAATGAGAGAATCGATATGTTATACTTAATGTGTTGAAAAGAAAGTGATAATCAACACACGCACACAAAGATGGGCTAAAGAAAAGCATAGAAGCGGTAGAAATGTTCTAATTCTTGTAATGCGTTCTGTTTGACAGGGTTTGTGACCAAAATGGGGAAAATAAAATTTAATTCGCTTGATTGGATTAATGCGATGGTCGTCTGAGATTGATGCGTTGGTACGTTACTGTTTTTTGAATGAATATGTGTATTTTTTCAGTCTTGCGATTCTGAAGCCATAAAAGACGCGTAAGAAAAGTGGAATCGAGCGGGGTTGTGGTCACGATTGCATTCCTTGAAGTTATTATCATATTAATTTCATGTTGTCAGAAATTGCGTCGTGCTTTATTGATAAAACTGCAGACTCCTGTGATCATATCTATAAGTTTAAAGTCTTTATAATTTCGTAAGCGGAGCTAAGTGACTCGTGTACGCACATCAATTTAAGCACGTCTGGACGGGAAGCATAACCTTACAACCACTCTTCCTTAAAAAGGAGTCGGGATGAAAATGGAATACTATCTTCACCAGTCTATATAAACGAGTGTATATGTTCCTTTGCCGAAAAAAAAGGTCTGGATATTTGCTTCCAGTTCGTTCTCCAAGGTACCTGGATACATATTACGAATACAATAATCCTTGCCGTCAGTTGGACCTCTTGACGTGAAAGTGTTCTGTCGCTACAAATAAAACCACACGCGCCAGTCATAGAAAGATAATGAGTTAATTAGCCGAAACCACTTCAGAAATGCCGATATTGAGTTGTAGTAAAAATTCTCCCAATCTTTCCGTCTGTTGATAGCAATATAATTCTCCCAATGCCCTGAGTCAACTTGTGTGGGTGGGTGGATA